TTTAATGTTTATTTTTGAGAGAGAGTGTGAGCAGGGGCGGGGCAGAGAGGGGGACAGAGGATCTGAAGCGGGCTCTGTGCTGACAGCAAGAGAGCCCATGTGGGGCTCGAACCCACAAACCATGAGATCAAGAGTCGCATGCTCTACCCACTGAGCCAGCCAGACGCCCCACAACGCAGTAGCTCTTAGTGTATTTAGAATTGTGCGGTATTACCCCCGTCTAACCCACAGCACCCTTGAACCCCAGGACACCGCTGGCGGCTAGTCGTCACTCCCCATGCCACCCCCCAGCTTCTGGCAAGCCGTGTTTGATCACTGTTTGCTCACACGGTTCCAAAGTCACATTTACAGAAACACGTACGTCCAGACAATCTCTGGCTCCCGTCCTGACTTCCTCCTGCCACATCTCCCATTTCCTTCTTCGGTGCAAAACCAAGGCGTGGCCACCGCTCTCAGCTGCCTTCACTGGACCCTTCCGGCTGTGGGGGCCTCCAGGCACCGAGGCCCCAGGGTCCGCCCTCCTCTTGCCCCTGAGTTTCTGGCATGCACCTCTGGAGTTTTGCTCATGTATTTGGGACGGGGCTGAGGGGTGAGGGGAGGGTCCAGTCCCTCTGGGCAGCCAGCAGCGCTGTGAGGCACCCAGCCCCCAATGCACACGTGAGAGGGGCGTCTGGGCTCTTTATGTGATGAAAGGCCGTTTTGTGTTTCTCCTTCTGTGAACCGGCCATAGGTTGCGTTTGTATTTCTACAGACTTTTTTATCCTTTTGTCATCTTACAAATCCTTTATGTGTGGAGGACTTCATGTGATGCAAACCTGCACCCCAGTGGCTTTTAACTTTGCTTATTGAGTGTGTGTGTGTCTGTGTGTGTGTTTTGCCATGCGGGATTTTCATGCTCTATGAGTGCTTGCTGTACACGGCAGGTGTTAAATGTGTGCCTGCTGCACAGAGTGGGTGTGCAGTGGTCAGTGTCTATCTTCTGTACACAGCAGGAGCTCTGTGTGCTTCCTCCACACACTAGGTACTCAGTACCTAATTGCTGCACAGAGTAGGTGTTGAATACCTACTCTCTGTATACAGTAGGTGCACAGTACATACGTGCCGACATCGTAGGCCCCAATACCTGGCTCCTGTCAACAGCAGGTGCACGGTACATGCTTGCTGTGCCACTCAGCTGTGGGGGTTCACCCACACTTCCTTATAGCACTTCTGTAGTTCCGCTTGTTGGGCTCATCCTGGACTATCCCGTGGGGACGGGATGCGGGTTCACCTTCTGCTCTCGGGCTGAGACATCTGGTTTGGCCTCGGAAGTTGTGGGGCAACCCTCAACTCGCTGCGTCGTGCTTGGGCACGTTTCTGGCCTCCCGGTGTCTCCCGCCGGCCCGCCTGCTCTGTGTGCCAAGCCCACCCGGAGTCTGGAGGCTGCACAGCGTGTTTCAGTGTGCTGGGGGGTCAGTCGCCCCTTCTGCTCTTCGGCACGAGCAGGCTTCCCTGCGATTTTTGCTCATTTGTTCTGAACGGCCTTGCGTAGCTTCAGTAATTAACAAGCAAACCTGATGGTGTTTTCTTTGGGAGCACGTTACGTGTGTGGATAAATAGGGAGAACGGCCGTCTTTCGTCCCCGTGACGGTGACGAGCTCTGCCTAATGACCGTGTGTTCAGCCTCCCCCCGTGCCTTTCCGGGGGCTCTCCAAGCTGCCCTCATACAGGTCCGGACATTTCTTGACCTCGTGCCGTGCTTTTACTTTGCTCTCTGTGCTGGTGTCAACGGGGTCTTCCCATGTTCCCATGTGTTGTGTCTTCTTCCGAGTGGTTTTTGTTTGTATACGTAAAAGCTATTGAGTTTCCTTTTAAGGTTAAGCTTCCCTTTTTATTGAAATGTATCTTACAGAAAAAGTGCCCACGTCGTGAGGGCACACTGGACGGATGAGAGCGACACCCTCGTGTACCCACTGCTTGGATTGAATGTGGAACATTTCCACCCCTCTCAGAGGTTCCTTGCCGGGGGTGACCATCACCCTGGTCTCTGCCACCACTGATTCATTTTACGGTTCTTGGGTTTTTATGTTGATTTTTCTAATCGCTTGCTATTTTGACTCTTAATGTTGTAGTCGTACATGGAGTCTTTTGGATCTTCCAGGTCCGTCATATTAAAAGAGTAAAGAGATTTAGTGTCACTGTTTCTTTCCCAGTTCTCATGTCTCCGATTGCCTTTTTCTTGTCTAATTGCACTGGCCAGCATTGCTAATACAGCGTTAAATGGCAGGGTATCACTGCACATTTTTTTCTTGCTCTTGCCCCTGGCGGCAAAACCCTTCGATGTCTGCCCTGTAAGTAAGACGCCGGCTTTCAGCCCGAGTATTTGAAACTCCTTTCATGGGGCGCCTGGGTGGCGCAGTCGGTTAAGCGTCCAACTTCAACTCAGGTCACGATCTCGCGGTCCGTGAGTTCAAGGCCCGTGTCGGGCTCTGGGCTGATGGCTCAGAGCCTGGAGCCTGCTTCGGATTCTGTGTCTCCCTCTCTCTCTCTGCCCCTCCCCCATTCATGCTCTGTCTCTCTCTGTCTCAGAAATAAATAAACGTTAACAAAAAAAAATTAAAACTCCTTTCATAGATGAAGAAACTGCGGGTCTGCAGGAGAGGCAGCCCCTAAGGGAGGGCGAGACGGAAACAAAAACCTGCGCCCTGTGTCACCCCCTGCTTCCTGCCCCTACAGGAGATCGTCAACTTCAACTGCCGGAAGCTGGTGGCCTCAATGCCACTGTTTGCCAACGCCGACCCCAACTTTGTCACGGCCATGCTGACCAAACTCAAATTCGAGGTCTTCCAGCCCGGTGACTACATCATCCGAGAAGGCACCATCGGCAAGAAGATGTACTTCATCCAGCACGGTGTGGTCAGCGTGCTCACCAAGGGCAACAAGGAGATGAAGCTCTCTGATGGCTCCTATTTTGGGGGTGAGCCGGGGACCAGGGGCTGGTGAGAGCTGGACCCCCTTCCTGGGTTAGGCGGGGAGCCTGGGCAGGCGGAGAGCCTGCAGGGGTGATGCCGTGGGCGTCAGGAAGGACCTGCGGAAGGGCCCTACTGGCAGAGGGGAGGAGGCGGGACTGAGCCCAGCGGCTGTGCGACCCCGTGGGGCGGGGCTGGATGGGGGCCGGCGGGTGTGGCCCGGAAGCTGAGGTCGGCTCCCTCCGCCGCGCGCGCGCGCAGAGATCTGCCTGCTGACGCGGGGCCGGCGCACGGCCAGCGTGCGCGCCGACACCTACTGCCGCCTCTACTCGCTGAGCGTGGACCACTTCAACGAGGTGCTGGAGGAGTACCCCATGATGCGGCGGGCCTTCGAGACTGTCGCCATCGACCGCCTGGACCGCATCGGTGAGGGGGCTGCTCGGGGCGGGGCGGCGGGGCATCCGGCGAGATAAGGTGGTGTGTCCCAGCTGA